AAAGGGAGATGATTTTGGGTTGCATTAAACATCAGTGTGTTGGGTAATGTCCTTGTAGGTGCACCAACGTCTCCAGGCCTCTATTAGAAGTTCAGTGAAGTCTGCTTAAAAATTGTATGTTAATAAGAAATGCTCACTGGGCCCATTGCCATACGATAGTTATGTTTTGTTGACTTAGATCTCAACTTCAGTAGCAAGTGAGGCATGAAAAATGTTGTTGAAAATATGCTTTTTAAACTAAATTGGCACCAAATGGCTCTGTGCTGCCAATGAGCTGTGATATCTTGGAATCTGAAATTGAGACCTGGCTCCCGTTGTCTTCTGTCACAGGGTTTTCCCTTGCTTAGCATTGTAATGGTAGGAGGCCTGGAGCTGCTCGCAAGGTGCAGCATGCGTTGGATCTTTCCCATGAAAATGAGGAACATCTTTTTTTACTAACGTACGATTTGCTTCTGAATGAATTTTAGACTTTCTCTGCATTAGTATAGGTAGAAAACCATTAGCTTAATGTTGTGAGGATTAATTCTGATGCGGACTCTGAAGGTTTTACTGGCATGCTTGTCGGAGTAGTATGGGGTAGGTGTTGCCTGATTCCTGTAAAATACCTTGATTTCTCAGATGCTTTCATCCTGCTGCTTGGCTGTAAGGTGCCTGATGTTTCCAGGCAGGCCATGTCTGAAGTAGGATTCAGGACAGAAAGCCTTGTTTTTCAATTTTTTTTTTTCTCAGTGAAATGGGGTTAGTAAGGCTTGGCACCTGTATTCTGCTAAATGTGAATTAAATGCTCTGTCAGTCCTTATTTATTAGGTGGGCTGGGGGTGAGTTTCTACACAGATCTCTTGTAATCATGTTGCTTGCAAGATAGAAGTGTGTTTTCTGGAAGGTTGTATGCTTGGCTTTTGGGTCCTAGTTTTTTGGCTAGAGTACATGCTGGTTTCCTAAAGCTATTAGTCCAGTTCGATTTCTTTTATGTGCTGAAAGTTTAGTTTCCTGAGACGAGTGCCCAGCAAATGCTTCATCCCTTGCTGTTCTTAGATGATAGCAGAAACTGGGCTTTGGGGGAGCATGGGAATCAAACACGGATGGACACCTTGCTGTATTCCCCATACTTCGTTTTTAGCTCTATTCGAGAACACTGGTTAACGAATACTGTCATGCAGAAGTATCGACATGAAGACTCTGTTAGGAAAAAAAAAAAAAAAAAGCAAAACAAAAAACGGAAATAGAGTGGTGAGGCGCTGGAACAGCTGCCCAGAGAGGCTGTGATGCCCCGTCCATCCCTGGAGGTGTTCAAGGCCAGGTTGGATGGGGCCCTGGGCAGCCTGGGCTGCTATGAAATGTGGAGGTTGGTGGCCCTGCATGTGGCAGGGGGTTGGAGCTTCGTGATCCTTGAGGTCCCTTCCAAGCCTGTGATTCTGTGATAAAAACACAACAGCTTTCCTTCAGAGAGAAAACAAAGTTTGAAAGTAGGCTGAATTGGACAGATGTTCATTTTCTATTCCTGTTACCTCGCATGCGACTTTTCCACCATTTTTCCTTCTACACTTTTTAAGGGTGTAAAATCACCAACCTGGAAATCCAGTTTTTACCCTATGAATCTGAATCTGTGATCTCTGTAATTAAAATATTAGAGGAGAAAGATGCCCTTTCCAGTTTTTACTCTGTGTTTTTGAAATTCTTTGTCTAGGCAGTTTGATTTCTTTTTTGAATTGCATCTCCTGTGTGATGGATTGCTCTGGGGAAAAGCTCATCAGCATTCCATTGCCCAATTGCTGCCAAGAATGTTTGAAACTCTCGAGCAGCAGCAAAGCAGAAACTGAAGGCAGGCAGGCAGAAGTGCGGGGGCAAAAAGGGAAAAGATAACCTTGTCACAATTGAAGTTGTGGCGATGACCATTTGCTTTCCCTTCTGGAAGGGCCCATTAGGCATGGTGAAGGATGCAGAGTAAGATCTTCCCTTTCCTTCTGGTGGACAAAATAAAGGGGATTTCCTGGGGAAAAGGTAATTGAGGAGAAATCCTGGAAAATGTTCATCTGTCTTGTGCTGATTCAGCCTTGTTTTTATTAGGAGGTTATGCACATGCAGTGGTAAAACTAGACTGGATGTCTTTTAGCCAAAGCCATAAATCTCCAGCTAGGAGTGGATGGCAGGTGGGGCTGGAGGAAAAACGCAGCTTTCTTTGACACACTGGACCAAACCTGATGTGTTCTGTTTGGGTCCCTGCAGTCCACATGGCAACATTAGGGAAGCTGGTGATAACTTTCTCTTTTTTGTTTTAGCAACTGAAAAAGAAGAGAAGTTGGTCACCTGATGAGAAACTGTGTGTATTTTCTGCAGGCTCAGGAAGACCAGAGTGTACTTACAAACCAATTCCAGTAACATTCCAATCATAAGTTAAATGTCATCTCTGCTATGTTGAGTGCGTGTGTATTCTTTAAGGCCAAAATCCTGTAGAAGCTGCAGGCTGCAGGCAGTCGTTCTGCTCTGCTGCGTAGGGGAGTGCAAGTTGAAGTTCTCCCAGTGTCTGTTCTTCAGTGGGAGCAGCCGAGATGTGGACGTGGGAAGCTGCAAGGTCAGGCGTGGAAGCCAGGACGGGGCAAAGAATGGAATACAGATCTTGTGCTGTGAGCCTTCAGTCCTCCCCCAGAGCTTGGTTAGCTGCATTGGGTAGGACCCTTTTAGTGGAGTTCTGTGTCAGAGGCTTGGAGAGTGAAAGCAGCAGGGCAGGAACAGGAGGAGCTGCTTCTCTCAGGACTGAGCTCATGTACATATTTTACCAATGTCTTAATCAGATGATGATGTGTATTAGCATATGGATGAGGGAGGGGTTCCCTTTCTCTTCTGTGCACCTGCACTCTCAGTATGTAACAGCAGTTCAATCCTGCAGCTTCAGCATTTTCTTCTTCTTTTTTTATTTTTTTGGAAAACATCAAGGAAGAGCATTCCCCAGTTTGCCATTGTGTTCTTTCTGGAGTATTTCTGACACTAATTCACAGCTCAGTAAGTATTTCCACAATGTAGGCATGAGCTTTCTATGGTGAAATCTATAGGATGCTACGTAATGATAGGTAAATTCAATAAAAGCTACTTTTGAATTTCACAGCAAGTGTTTGTACATTCAGAGTAAAATGGTAATAGCAAGAATTTAATTTCTAATCTTGTTTCTATCGTTGGGGAGGAAAAGGGGACAGAAGTGGGTAGGAGCAAGTCAAGTAGAGGATTGGGTCATTCCATAAACAATTTTGGTGAAGAAATTTCTTTATGGGGGAGTGTGATGGTGGAGAGAGTGTGTGTTAATTCCTGTGAAATTCCCATGAAGAATCAGTTTGTGTAAATAACCCTGCAAAGCTGCTGTTCCATCACAGTTATTGGCATTTCATGTGATAACCAGCACATCATTATTTCTTTCACTTACCTGTAGCAATTGAAACACTTTCAAGGACACATTAAATTGCTACTAACTTTTCCCCCCCTTTTTATCTTTTAAATTTGAGTAACTTCCTGTTACTCCAGGATAACAAATATTAGGCCTGAACTATCCCAAGAAACTTCATGTTAGATGTGGGAATAGTCTGTGAAGAAGCTGTGATTTTCTCTGGAGCAGGCAGTGCTCTCTCTCCTGTGTTCTGTGTGAGCACGAGTGGTTTTGGCTCTGTGGCAAAGCACAGGAGACTGAGGAATACTTTCACATTTTTTTCTGGCATGTGACAGGAGAGAGTGTTTCAGGGCAGCAGCCAGTTGCTGATGTCAGACCGTGGCCTAAAGAAGCTGTGACTTTCCAACCTGAGAGATTCTGTGACTCTTCTTGATAGAAATTCTTGAAGTTCGGATGACTGGAATTTCCCCTGGGGAGAATTACTGGGTTAAACAAGTACTTCCCTCCTTACCCCTCCACCCCGCACTTGTAAGATTTCATTCAGGTTTGACTTAGAGAAACCCTGAAAATTACCATTTCCCTTCTGATGTCAGCACTGTTCTGGCATCCTGCCTGTGAATAACTGAGCAGGAATGCTTTAAAACCTGAGCTCAGGCCACAGCTGCAGCTGCACCTCCAGACATCACGGTGGGAGAGCTGTTGTGCCCCAGCAGGGGTTGAGCTCTGTGATGCACTCGGACTGATGTGTAACACCGCTGCTTCCACTGCTGACAATGGGGTTTGTGTTTAACTCTGTGTCTGGAGTTGCAGCGGTTTGAAGGCAGACTGAGGAGCAGGCGGCGTGGAAGAGGCAGGGTACATGGAGATGGCCATCCTGCTTTGGTTTGGGGCGCTGGTTTTGGTCTTTTCTGGTGAGATCGTGCAGTGCAGGCTGTGGTGCCTGCCAAATATTGCCGTCTTTCACTGCCTTTGTTTTGGTAGGTGGCTGTGCCTTCCTTGCTGAAGTCTGTCTGAATTCGGATAAAGGCCATGTAGCCTGCTGTCCTGCTCCAGGGCAGGATTGCTACATCTAATAACAGCACAGACTGCAATGAATGGATTCTGTTTCAGTGCTTTACTGTCCTTAGCACTGGACATTAGAAAAAGTGTTTCTCTAACTGAAGCAATCGTAATTGTCTCTTCTTGTGCTTGTCTTTCGAGTTATTGGGATCAGAGCAAAAGTGTATGAGAACCAGCTTACAAATGTCTGGCTTTCCCCCCTCCCCTGGTTTCTTGAGGACAAGGTTGCTAGTTAGGTTGCAAAATGTCTCCCTTTATTTCTAGGTTACTGTGCTCGCTGGGGACTCCACTGAAGGGGTTGGGCTGTCCAGTGTTACCACTTGCACATCTTCTAGGGTCCCAGAGCTGAACTGTTCACTCTGCTTCCCTGGATGGGATCCTTCCTGTCGTCTTGTTTTGCGTTTCATTCTTCTTAACAGTTTGGTGATGGATTTAAAGTCCAAATGACTGTAGGACTATGCACCTTGTGCAAGTTTAGGAGGAGAATCTGGTATTCATTAACTGTAGGTAAATAATTAAACCAGTGGCAGACGAGAGGTGGTACTTCTTGGGACGTGGTTTGAGAAAAATCTTTCACCTCTTTGCACAACATATGTTGAAATGGTGGAAGTGCTGGAATTAGGCACATCCTGAGCCTTCTTTTCGGCATGAGGCGTCTCTGACTTTGTAGCTGGCATTGCTGGCCCTGGTAAAGCGTCACACTGAAGGGCAGTGCATGGAACGTGATCGCACAGTCCTCCAGACTCCAGCTGTGCACAGCGTGAGAAGGGCAGTTACCCTGTGGGGCAGCTGGGTGGGTGGGTGTGTTTTTCTTAATTATTTTTTTTTAAAACACAGTGGTGACCAAGTGAGTTTGTAAGGGGCTTTGGTAGCTGCAGTGCTTTGGAACTTCTGGGAAGTGCTCCAGGTACCTGCTGGATCTGACTTTTTCTCTGGGCTTGGCGTTGCACCTGGAACACTTCTCTTCTTTGGTCTCATGAAAAATCATCTCACTGGAAATGTCAGTTCTGATTGGCCGTAGACAGAAATTGGCTCCCCTGGAACAGAACGTGTTTGTGGGGGCATGGTTTTCAGGTAATGTGTGCTGATCCTGGAGGTGGTGAGGGGTTTAGAACAGAAAAGAGGAAAGCACTCACTGAGCTGCAGCTCTGGAGGTGGGGCAGAATGCCTGGCTGCTGTTCGGCTCATGGTAGCTACTGGTGGATGTAAAGAAGTGACTGACAGATGATCCTGAAGTATTCCACCAGCCTGTGCTTTAAAAAGATTTCCAAAAGGCCTTCGTTGGTCTTCCTGTTTGGTTCACGAGACGTGGCAGCATTGCAAAAGCTTGTTTCTACGTTAATTGTGATTGATTACTTTGCAATCTAGGACAAGATTTCCTTTGAAAAGCTCTATGCTGATTTGGTGTCAAGAATTAAAATCAGATGAAGTAATCAGTGTTCTGTGAAATATCCCAGAGTGTTTCTTGTTGGCTTTCAACTGTTCTTGGCCCTTAGCCCTCACCTCCTTTTCCTTCTCTAGTGCAAGGTGCTAAATCTATTGTCCGCACGCTCAGGAGAATAACTCATTAGGCATTTGTATTAGGAGACCAGGGGATAATTTGCTGCTAAACTTCAGAGCGTAGATTTACTGGCTCTAATGATGAGTGTGGAGTATATTGAAAATGCATTGTGTCAAAGCAGCATCGGTGCTTGTACTGAATGGTGAACACGTACTAATGTTAGCTTTAAACCTGCTCACTCTGTGCAAGGCAATAAACTGTTTGGAGTTGTCAGTGCTGTCAAGGTACAGTCATGCCTCACCTTCCTGCTCTCATATGAGTTGTCTTGCAGTTTCTTGTTATACCTGTTCCTGAAACCAGTGAAGATTTCACAGCATTGGCTGATCCTCCTCCCCGTTGGCATTGGCACAGTGAGGCATTTCTGTATCTCCTCACCAGCTGTCCCAGCACACTTTAACTTGCTGAGCAACTCCCCACATTGTTTGTTCTGCTTTAAAAGAAGCTGGGTTTTTCTAGGCGTAGATGGAATACGAGCCCAAGGACAAAAGCAAGCATAGGGTGGTAGACCCAGGCCTCAAAATTGCTATAATCAACTGCATAGGGCTGGTGGATTTTTATTTCTATTTTTTAAAAAAACGATGACCTCGAGCTACTGTATGGCTGGGGTTCATGCCAGGCTCAATAAATCCCACAAAAATAGCATCCGAATTTGTCAACTGCTGTAAAAAGAAGGGAAATAAGTCGTTTCTTCCTATAAGTATAACATGACTTTGTTACCTTGGATCCCTCTGATGAAATAGGAGAGGGTCAGGATGGACATTTAAGGGGAACTGAGCTGCTTTCTAACAAGGCAGCAGGTGGCTGATGTTGCAGTGCAAAGGGCACTGTGAACATTGGATGCTGGCCTGGAACTGAGGTGTGTTAGAGATGCTCCTGTTCTTAACAGAGTGTTGCAGTAGCACTCCTGGGGGGGCTGAAGGTGCTGTGTGTGATCCGCTTGGCGGGCCCCTGTCACCCTGGTGCAGAGCAGCAGGAGCTGTGTGAGCTGGGCTCTGTGGGCCCAGAGGTAAGAAGGGCTGGAGGGCGGGCTGGTACAGCACTGGTCTTTCATTCACATTAACTTAAGCTGAGATTGTCGCCTCCATAGTTCAGTTCCAAACCTCAGGTTACTCAGATGACTTTGGCAGTCCTTTATGTTGCGTTACACATTCTTTTAAGCAAATTCAATTCTTCTGCAGAAGCAAAGGAGAGACTGTTATTCTGAATTGTGGGTTGTAGAAACTACAGGCGCTGACACGTAGCTCTTATTAGTGCAAGCAGCTGCTCTGGACAAGATGGATCTCTGTGTGCTGAGACAAGGTAGCCTTTGACAGCTGTAATTCTCTTACCATGAGCTGAGCTGCTTCTCCTCCATTGCAGTGCTTTGTGCAGTGGGAGATGTTGGGCTGCTGGACGCCTGCAATGTTTTAGAGCCCTGATGTGACGTGGAGGTACCTCGGGTGCACCCTTACCAAACCAGCATGTTAAGTGGCCATGGGAATTTGCTTGTCCAGTGAATCTGGTCAGCCACCCTTTGTTCCAGTGTAAAATGAAACAAATTTACAAAAAAGAAGTTGAAATATTCAAATGTACTTTGAGCTTTCAGACAGACACAAGTGGGTTGAAACCTGCAGTGCCACATTTATTCCCATTGTATGTATGGAGAATTAAGGCATAAGTTGAGGAAAGCCACATGAGGTAGTATAGTCAATGTGGGTCTCCAGTTCTGCAGCTTAACTGTGTGTTTCTCTTTCCCTCCCTAAATGTTGGAGGAAGGTCCATCTTCAGACAGACTTATTCACAACTTTGGGCAGTTTGCAGCTTTGCTGTTTTGTTGCTTTTGAATGGGAGAGGCTGGAAATGCACTAGAAAGTCCCTTTCTAGCCTGATACTCAGGTGCTTGATGAGGTGCTTTATGTCTGCATATGTGAAACCAACTTAATACCCCTCCAGCAGATGATGCTTGATGTCTTTTAGTCTTTCAGAGCTTGTAGAAATTTTGTTGTTTTTTTCCATGGTGAGTAAGCATTTTTAGGAAGCTAGGAGGGTGTGCTGGAGGTGCCTCTTAAGATGTTTAAATGTGTCCTGGGACCCCTCAGATTTCTGTTCATGAAGGGCTTTAAATGAATTGATAATGTTAACTTTATTCTAGAAGATAAACTCTGGTGAGCTCTCTTGCATTGAGAGCTCAAGTTCTGGAAAACAAACGTCCACATGTTGAGTACCAAAAGCCATCTGTCTCTGAGATTAGTATCGCTTGTTTGAAGGGAAATGGGCGTTATGGAGAATTAGCTGCATGACTGACGTCTGCCACAGGTCTCAGTTGTCCAACTGCATTTGCTGAGCTTCAGGAACCTTTCAGGTTTTCAGTGGCGCTTAGGGCAAATATTTTGCGTCTTGGTGATGTGGAGCAGCTGCACTCTTCCGGACTGAAATCAGATCGCTTAAGCCGTAGTGACACTTCATGCAGTTTTGCTGTTCCATCCTTGCCCCTTCTTCTCTCGCTTTTTTATGGCTTGCTCTTGGCCTGGGCCCATTTCTGTTGTACAGCAGGAGCTTGCATGCTCCTCCTAGTGCATAAGAGGGCCTGGAACAAAAATGCTGTGATAAGACACTTAACTGTCTTTTTGTTGACTTTGCTCCAGTTCATTAAAGCAGACGCAGGAGGTTGGCTAAACTTAAAGTCTGATTTAATATTCAGAAAGGATGTTTCTTTCCATCTTAAAAGGAAGAGCACCTCGTTGCGGCTATCACATATGTGGTCCTTGGGGTCATCTCCTGTGGAGCTGAGGTGAAGATTTTGGGAGGAGTGAACAGCAGCACTTTGGAACTCTTGGGATAAGTTGGCTGAATAGTGTGCTTCTAAATGAGTAGAGAGCGAGGGGATGGCTAGTTACCTCATCATGTGGATCAGAGGAAATACTTTCAATTTGTACTTGTGCATGCAGATGTAATTGAAGGTGTTAGAGATTACACTGCCCCTCTAAGTAGCGAAGTGGATAATCTGACTCCATCTACTTGTGAAGTGTCTGAAAACTTCACTAGTCTCCAGCAGCTGCAGAAGAATCTGAATTCTTTGTTAATTTAGTCTGTTTAATTCGGTAAATAATGCTTGTCAGAATCTCCTGCCGTGTTAAAATAACCCTGTAGGTAGCTGTCAGCTCCTGCTTCCGCCTCAGCATCTGATAACGGAGTTGAGATGAGAGCAGAGGAGCTGGTTGCTTGGCCAAGGCCTCAGCCCACGTGTCACTCAGCCAGCTGCAGAACAGGCAGGAGCCCTGAGAGCGGGAAGGCTCTGTGTTGCCGTTGGGTCACCTCTTGGTCACCTCTTCCCTGAAGCCCAGAGCTCCTGTGCAGGCATTGGATTGCGTTGCTCAGCTGCGACACCGGTGTCATGCCGGCAGAATGGAGATGGAGGGCGAGGGAAATGAATCTTCGGATCGCTCTTACCTCGTGTTGGTGTGGCAGGGACTCACTTGCATGCTTTCCACGAGGGTCTGGACTCTGCTGTGCACTGAGTCTGGACAGCAGTGGTGACCCTGAGGAACTGGCTGTTTGTGTGACTGGTGTGTCTTTGAGTCCTGTGCTACATGACCCCGGGGTGAGGCTGGGCCTGTATGCCTGGAGCTCCCACCAATGCTGGTTTTTGCAGAAAAACAGAAGAGTCTTTGCTTCTCTCCCTGCTCAGCCCATTGCAACGCCTACACCGTAAATCTTACTTCAGGTCCCTTTGCACTACTGAAAAATGTCCTGCTAATGTAAGCATGCATCTGTCTTTGAGTAGATTCTGAAGATGGCAGAAAACCAGCTATGTGTCATCTTCAGATATGATAGTGGTTGAAATATTGCATTGAGGATGTTGAGAGATACCTGAATAATGTGGTGTGTGATAAGCCATGTGGCTGTGTGTCAGGGAATGACGGACTGAAGAAAGAAACAGAAAATCTAGAGCCTTGATAAGCTGGATTTGTTGAATTTGCTAAGGAGGGCTTAAAGTCAGTCTCAGAGGGAAAGATGAGATCAACAATTGCACTTTGTTTAAAGCAGAGGCTGGCAGAGCACCTTCCCTCTTGCCTTCAGAAGAAGAAAAAACAACAGAAAACCAAAACCAAACCGCGCATGCACGTACAAACAACAGAGCCTCAGGTTGCCCCCTGCAACTGGGCATGAGTACTGTACTCCTGTCAGGTTCTTTCTGATGACAGTTTGATTTCAGTTCCTTGCCAGATCTTCTGATTTACTTCTTTCGGGAG